GTTGTTTCACGAATCTCCAGACATTGCCGATAAATTCGTACGTATAGTCGGTGGAAAAAGTGTAGCGAATAGTGGTGAATTGAAGCGTCGAGTAGCTGCACCGAGATTGATGCAGCATTTTACATTTTCGGTTTAATACTTGTGACAGATTTAGAAATAGAAGACAGCGACGTTCTTTCGTTCGACTGCACGCGATCCTTGGGGCAAAAATGACCCAAAGAGAGACCAACTCATGTGTGACAATTTTTGTTAGCCGGATACCATTTTGCACATTTTCTTAATTAAAATATTTTATCTTCCCGGTAAAGGATTTTAATATCCGGCCAGGTCGCTGTTACTTGGCACATTTTCTATCCGTGTTTGTTTCATGTTTAGAATTTTGGTATCAGAAGGCTACTAAAGTTGGACGATAGAATAGGCGGCAAGCGTGGTTACTGACATAGGGGTTAAGGGAACATAAATTTTATAGCAGCAAAAGTTATTAAAATAAATTTTATATGGAATATATAGAATAATAAGACGGGTCAAAAAAGACCCGAAGACCGCACTAAGATTGCAGCGGCTGGCCGGACCTGAAGATCGCGAGTTCAAATTCCGCGACACCTATTTTTCTTATTTTCTTTTTTACGGGGGGAAAATCTTCCAAAGACACCGCGTCTTTCTTGAAAGGGGAGAGACAAGGTAACGTGGGATTCTTATTCACTTAAACGCACATGGCTACCCTCGGGAGCGCTGGGGAGATCCCACACATCCGGGTACTCCCCGCGTCTTGTCTTCCTGTGATGCCCGGTTTTCGAGAAACTGAGGGCAGGTGTTGCAATTAAAGATCGGCGTTACGCGGAACATAAACTTTATTAAAACTGGCGGAACGTGACGTGCGCGTGACAAAATAGAGATTGACCCGAGGACGGAAAAATAGGGTTATTTAAGGGTTCGAGGAAGATGAACTTTGGGTCGCCACTGTGTAGGAGAGTTGAGAGGAGAACTAGACTAAGACCAAGACTAAGACTAAAGCTAAGAAAGACAATATTCGAGACTTAACCTTTTCTTTCCGAAGGACTCTGAAAATTCCACCTTTCCTACAGATTGAAGGTTCTCGAAGTGATTGAGAATTTTGGGTCCCCTTATTTTCTCAGGTGTCTGTCGACTCGCTCGTCGATTATGGTTCGAACCTGAACTTTAACACCTATTTCACGATTTCGTTTCTACTTCTTTCATCGACTGTACCTACCACTCGCGTTATTTCTTTCACACGAGCAAGAA